ATATCAGAAATAGAATTCTTACTAGTAAAAGGCTGTATTTTTGATATTGATTTTATTAACATGGAAGATATAGAGTGAATGCGCTCTGACTCATAACACTCGCGCACGTGGAAGAAAATGGACACTCCAGATCACATAATTCAGTGGATAATTAATAGAAATTATATTGAGAACATATGAGAATAACTCTGTTCTCAGATACCAAAGATAACAAAAACTCCTCATCCACTCTCTTCTCTCTCTGGATACTCTTCTTCTGTGTTACAGTAGTTTAAACTGGTTTTCGAAACAGCACCACCACTCTTGCCTTTTTGTGCAACAGCAGCTGCTCCGGGCACGAGATGTAATGCTCAAATCTTATTGGACGGCCCGTGTTTTCGCTTTGCGAAACTGAAAAGATTCGTCTGACTGGTTAAAAAAAAAAAGACACATTCGCATTTTCGGTGCGCGAATGTTCGCGGTCTATGTGGAAGCATCCATAGGAATCTTGTTTTATTCCAGCACGTCATCGCGTCCGATATTTGTTTCGCTTTTTCGCGCTCAGTGTGGAAAGGCCTTTACTCGTTTTTTGTTTTTTTTTTCCGCACAAAAAAATTCTCGTAGCTTTTAAAAATTACGGTTGAACCACTGATGTCACATGGACAGTTTTAACGATGTCCTTACTACATTTCTGGGCCTGGGAACATTTCAGTTGCGTTGCTATCTATGGAGGGTCAGAAAGTTCTCGAATTTCATCAAAAATATCTTAATTTGTGTTACAAAGATGAACGAAGGTTTTACAGGTTTGGAAGGACATGAGGGTGAGTGATTAATAACAGAATTTTCATTTTTTTGGGTGACCTATCACTTTAAGTTTTCATCTAATATTTAGGTCTATGTTTTATTTTATTTTTGCTTTATTTCAATTCAAAAAATGCAGACGCGTCATCTTGCCTCACAGTTATGAACTGTAGTGAAAATTACTGTAATAAGTAGAGTTTGTCAGGCTGATTGTTTTATATAGGTGAAATGATTAAAATTGAGAATTAAAATTCAAATGTGAAAAGTTTAATGGCCGGTCGTAATCATAATCATCTCAAAAGATCTTTGATTTGTCTTATAACTATCTTAGAATTGTCTTTGTTCTTTAAAAAAAAAAATTATAACTGTATTCAGAATGATTTGTAATTCCACTCACTTAACAACCAAGCACATACACTGGAGAAAAAGAATAAGAAAAGTCAGATTTTCATCCTCTTAATGTAATTCATGTCTAGCTCTCAAATCCAAATCCTTTGTTTGAAGGGACACACACTTAGAGCTTTTCAAAACACTTAATATTCATCTCCAAGTACGTCTATTGGATATTTAAAACTTTTCTGAGTGGTGAGAGACAGGGATTATATACCTGTGCAATTACCTCTTAGATCTAGCCATTGTTCCCAAACTGCACAGTAATTATACAGGTGATTGCCACCAGAGAAAAGCCATTGTTCAGACTACAAATTCCATACAGCATAGTCATTCACAGAGCTGGAGTTAGCCAATGACACCAACAGTAATCATCCTGTACATATTCAAGCATAATGACCACCCATACGCTCAAACAACGACACCGTAATCACAAACATAACGAAACTATTCTTTGTTAAACCCACGTGCCGTATTGTAGGTCGTTACGCACAAAGAACGGGGCTGAACTTTGTCCTTTGAGGGTTAGTGAAGAATAGAGAGGAGATCAGTATTCAGACTGAGTTCCTGCCATGCTTCTATTAAGTAGGAGAGTGGCAGTCTGATTATCCACATTGTTGGCAGTGGTGGGAGTGGACTGTACTGGGCCATTCTTGCATTAACATTCTGATCACATTTTTTTATAACTCAATTTGATGGAGGTTTGGATGTTGAGGATTGAGCACATCGGGAAAGCTCTCTAGTGCCTTTGCCCATGTAATGCGCCGGTCCCGTGACATTGTCGGTGACAATATTGTGAGTTTTTTGTGCTTATGCTGCTCATATTTAGTCTATACTTGATTGCCCAGAAGTAAATGTTGTTGCTCAGATGTTGCTCTTTATAGCTTATGAGAAAGACGGTTATGAAATTATAGTCCAAAAAATCTAATTTTTATCATATTGTACTTTTAGGCAAAGATTTAAAAATTGCATGTGTTTTTGTTGGTTTTCATAATTGGGTTCTATAGTATGATAGGAGAAGAGGAAAAAAACATGCATTTTATCCAAATGCCCAAACTTTAATAATAATAATATAATAAAATAGCAGACTATTTACATAAAATGCATATAAATATCAGTTGTCACTCTGTATATCTTTATAATATGTCTTAGTACGATTATATTTAAATGCTTAGTTTTATGATCAAAGCTCTGTAGTTTTTTTATTGTAGGAGGCAAAGCATATAATGGAATGCAATACAATGATGATTGGGAGATGAAAAAAAATAAACATTCCTCACAAGCCTGATGATCATATTTGATTCTCACATTTTAACATGATTTTTCTAAAAAAAATATGTATGGCTAGTAAAGTAAACCTAAGTTGCTTCAGTCCAGTAAGTTTTCATTTTGAAATATTACCAGCAATATAAAAGTTATGTAATTGAGATATTTAACAAATCTCACTTGTTCTTTTCTCGTTCCTACAGGTACCTTGCCGTATTTGAGACATTCAAACACTAACAATTGTTTATATCTATTCAATGAGTTTTGAAAATCAAAGAATTGGAAAGGTCATAGAAAGTTTAGATAACATGAAACATGCATATGTTTTCTTGAGTCAGATGCATTACTGAACATCAGTCTATCAGAGCTCCATCGCTATGGCAACAATACTGAAATCCGACTTAAACTTACAGTTATTATTATTCTTCTGAGACTAAAATTTCTGACTCTAACTCCTCCTAGAGCTTTAACTCTACAAAGCCCAAACTCAGCCCAGATCTTCAGACTGATCTGACTCGAGTTGCTATATCTTTTCTAACTGATCATACTTACGATTTTCAAATGAAGATTAAAAATCATAAAAATTCCATAGACTTACATTGAAACATTCAAATGTTACGCTTTTAAAACTACATTAAACGTCAAACTATTTCAGACTGAAAACCATCAAACTTAAAACTTTTTTTGTTGCAATTAAAAAAAATCCTATTCTATCTTAACTGTAAACTAAAGCCAGTATCATCTCATTCTGACCTCTTTTTATCTAAAGTGTAGTAAAGTAGTTAACCCCCCTCCTGTATAGGTGGCGCTATACATTAAGATTGCTATGCGCCAAAAAACTAAAGAAGAGGAAGAAGAACCGCCTCAAGCAAGATTTCAACTAATTCAAGCTTTAGGATCATTCGGAATAAATCATTGGGCCTGTGCGTATTCATGCGAAAGGCTTACGAATGCCCAAAATGTTCAATTCAGTGCTCAAATGATTCCCTAAACGTTAGATTCGAACATTCGAACGCACCTATCATGATCAAATGTTCGAATTTAAAATTCAAATGCTCCTCTGATTCCCAAGATGTTAGAAAGCGCATGTGATAGTCCAAACGACAATATTCTTACAATATTCTAATGTGCCTATGGCCTAAATGAAAAAAAAAACAAGTACAACCAAACAACCAGTATGTATTGCATCTGTTCTCGGCCGTTTTATAATCTCCTCTTGTGTTGTGCGCTTCATTTCAGGTCACTGAAAAATGTCTGAACAACGAGCTTTTAAGAATCCCTACCCAGATTACACTGGGCCTGGATGTGCACAAGACTTTTTTGACATGCAGGGAAATGTGAGTGATTCCAAAACATGACATGGGATCCCTTTTTGTAGTTTACAAATAATATGCTATTCTTAGACATTATTAGAGTACCGTAGTATATGGATATAATAAACATTCATTACCTTCACTGAATTACATTGTGCTGCCATACTTGTATTCATCGTCGTCACATCTTATTTATGAATTTTTTGCTCTGAGCAGTTGACCCAGCATTTTGCCAACTGTATAAGCAGCAAGATCAGTGAGCTTCTGGCGGTCATGGAGAATGGACTGAAGAACGCTGACCCCAGAGACTGTACTGGCTACACTGGCTGGGCAGGTGAGAATACACATATAGGTTTATTGAAAGTTGAAACTGAATTAATGCAAATTCTGGTAAACTGTGTATGGCAAAGCGTCATTAAAATCAGCCTCTGTAGATGGGTTTGCTTAAAGGGATAGTCATAATTTACTCACCCTCATGTCATTTCAAACCTGTATGCATATTTTTTTTCTTTCTGCTGAACACAAAAGAAGATATTTTGAAGGATGTTGATAACATGAACATGAGTAGTATAAATGTAATAATAATGTTTTTACTGTGCATCCCTTAAAGGGATAGTACACCCTTTCTTCTTTCTTTCTTTCTTTTGCTGAACAAAAAATAAGATATTTTAAAGAATGTTGGTAACTAAACAGTTTCATTTCCCATTGACTTACGTTGTGTTTTTGTCCATACAATTGAAGTGAATGGGAAATGAAACTGTTTAGTTACCAACATTCTTTAAAATATCTTATTTTTTTGTTCAGCAAAAGAAAGTAAGTCATACTGGGTGAGTAAATGATGACAGAATTTTCATTTTTGTGTGTACTATCCCTTTAAGGGATGCACAGTAAAAAAATTATTATTATTACATTTATACTACTCATGTTCATGGTTGAATGTCATAAAACTACTTGGCCCGCATTGCTAAGACCCTCCTCCCCCAACTGCAGGCATTGCCCTGCTCTACCTGCATCTCCACAGCATCTTTGGAGACTTCTCTTTCCTCCAGAAGGCTCTGGACTATGTCAGCCACAGTCTGAGGAGTTTAACCCAGCGCTGGGTGACCTTCCTGTGTGGGGATGCAGGGCCGCTGGCTGTTGCTGCGGTGGTCTATCATCGACTCCAGAAACCTCATGAGGCTGAGGAGTGTGTGAACAGGTATGATGTTGTTTGACCCTCCTCCACCTCCATCTTTTTGTATGCTGAGTCAGTGACATCACACTTATCTAACACAAAAGAAGATATTTTGAAGGATGTTGATAACATGAACATGAGTAGTATAAATGTAATAATAATGTTTTTACTGTGCATCCCTTAAAGGGATAGTACACCCTTTCTTCTTTCTTTCTTTCTTTTGCTGAACAAAAAATAAGATATTTTAAAGAATGTTGGTAACTAAACAGTTTCATTTCCCATTGACTTACGTTGTGTTTTTGTCCATACAATTGAAGTGAATGGGAAATGAAACTGTTTAGTTACCAGGCTTAAATATTAAAAGCAAGTATCAAATGTCCATACACCAGCCGACTGTTTTTGTTGTCCAAACCCTGATGAAGGCTCATTACCCGCAACACGTTGGTGTATGGACATTTGATACTTGCTTTTAATATTTAAGCCATGATTAAATGAAGGATTTTTTTTCCCCTTAAATTTTCAAGTGCCTTGGATTGATATGTTTTTCAAGAGTTGAATTATCCCACACCCAAAGAGTACCGACTCTACCGAGATACAGATTTTACTCCCTGTGCAGCACTTTTATGCATCTTTTGCTTATTCAAATTACCAACATTCTTTAAAATATCTTATTTTTTTGTTCAGCAAAAGAAAGTAAGTCATACTGGGTGAGTAAATGATGACAGAATTTTCATTTTTGTGTGTACTATCCCTTTAAGGGATGCACAGTAAAAAAATTATTATTATTACATTTATACTACTCATGTTCATGGTTGAATGTCATAAAACTACTTGGCCCGCATTGCTAAGACCCTCCTCCCCCAACTGCAGGCATTGCCCTGCTCTACCTGCATCTCCACAGCATCTTTGGAGACTTCTCTTTCCTCCAGAAGGCTCTGGACTATGTCAGCCACAGTCTGAGGAGTTTAACCCAGCGCTGGGTGACCTTCCTGTGTGGGGATGCAGGGCCGCTGGCTGTTGCTGCGGTGGTCTATCATCGACTCCAGAAACCTCATGAGGCTGAGGAGTGTGTGAACAGGTATGATGTTGTTTGACCCTCCTCCACCTCCATCTTTTTGTATGCTGAGTCAGTGACATCACACTTATCTAAATATATAATCAAATTAAAATGAATTATATAATAATTTTTGTCTGGTACTAAGTTATTCAAAGATATTCAAAAATTTAAGGGGGAAAAAAAAAATATATATATATCCATGATTAAATGAAGGATTTTTTTTCCCCTTAAATTTTCAAGTGCCTTGGATTGATATGTTTTTCAAGAGTTGAATTATCCCACACCCAAAGAGTACCGACTCTACCGAGATACAGATTTTACTCCCTGTGCAGCACTTTTATGCATCTTTTGCTTATTCAAAAATATATTAAATGAGGGACAATGATTTTAATACATTTTTAATGATTTAATGGTTATTTTTAATAAATGCACGTGTGTGTGTGCGTGTAATTTTTTTTAATCAGTATATGTCTTATTAAAAGACTAAAATTCTTTAAACAAACAAATTAAAAAAAAGATTAGCAGTGAAGCATTTTTTGTTTTAAATAATAATAAAAGTCTTATTTGTAATGCCAAGGCAATGCCATTTTAGATTTATAGGAAAAGAAAACTGCAAGACAAAGTCAGAAGACCTATGTAGACCTGTAGAAAAATTATAATAAAAAAAAAACATATTTATATATATATATATATATATACACTGCATCTCACAGATTACTGACATTTTCACTTGGGGGTGTACTCACTTTTGTGGCCAGCGGTTTAGACATTAATGGCTGTGTGTTGAGTTATTTTGAGGGGACAGCAAATTTGCACTGTTATACAAGCTGTACACTCACTACTTTACATTGTAGCAAAGTGTCATTTCTTCAGTGTTGTCACATGAAAAGATATAATAAAATATTTACAAAAATGTGAGGGGTGTACTCACTTCTGTGAGATACTGTATATACATACACAAATACACTTCCGTTTGTCACTGACCCATGTAAAGTTGATTACTATGGGGGATTTAGATTATTTAAATCATGTAGGAAAATTAAATATCTTTTATTTTCATCCAAAAAGAGAAATTATGGAACAACTATCGTAATGTAGTGTTTGTTGTCGGCTGTCCACATTGAATCTAATTTATTTTGGATTGCTGGCTTGTTTAGGACTTATAACTACTTTAATGAAATTGCGCTGGAATTTTCCCAAGAGCTGGTGTTCATTAGAAATCTCATACTAAGATTCCAGAACGAGGGTGAAATGTGGAAGATTTCTTGGTCTGTAGGGCAGCTCGGCACTTTCTGTTTCCTGTTTCTCTTTCTCAGTCTTGACAGGGTTTCATTCCCATGGGAACTTATTGTGATCTATTTGCTTGAATGTTTCCAGGCTGTTGCATTTTCACCAGTCAGTAGTGCAGGGGAAAGGCAGGTTTCCTGATGAGCTGCTTTATGGCAGAGTGGGCTACCTTTACTCCCTCATCTTCATTAACCAGCAATTTCAGCAGGAGAAGATCCCCATTCAATACATTCAACAGGTCAGTCACTATTCATTTGGCCTCAGACCTAACCAAAAGCACATGACCTCATATTGTAACAGGATACATGACTAGAATGAGTTACATATGATAAAGAATATATGTTGTACTTAACATGATCAAAATCTACCCTTTCTAAATGCCCCTGGTCTTATTGAAAAAAGAGTTTCTCATTAAAATGTAATATATTTATCAGTCTCTGAAATTGCTTCTGTCATGTGCTGATGTAACCAAGAACATGCAGACAGTGAAAAATAATATATCCAAAATATTTGTTTATATACAAAAACAAAAGATAATATTGTAGTCCAACCTTCATAATCCAATTACAATGGGAAAAAAACTAAGCCCTACATTATTTCTACTGTTAAAAAGATGGGTTTTTTTTTTTTTCAATGACTGGTAATGAAATATAGAAAGCAGGCCAGATGACTAGTATACACCATTCAAACTTTGGTGCCAGTGATATTTTTTGATAGAAATTAATGCTTCTATTCAGCATGGAATAAAATTTATCCAAATTTAAAAGTGATAGTAAAACATGATACAAAAGTTTCAAATAAATCTTTTGAACTTTACATTGATAATAATTAGAAATGTTTCTTGAGCACCAAATCAGCATATTAAAATAATTTCTGAAGGATCATGTGACACTGAAGACTAACGTAGTGATGCTGAAAATGTAGCTTTTCATCACAGGAATAAATTACATTTTGAAATATATTCAAATAGAAAACATTTTAAATTGTAATTAATATTTCGCAATATTACTGTTTTTACTGTATTTTAAAAATCATTAAAAATTTACAGTCACCAAACTTTTGAATGAGGTTATATATTTTGGAACTGACAATTGACAGTTAACATATAAATATCTGACAGTTTCTAAATATTGGCCAGTTAACATTCCTTAATATATAAATAAGGTCATACATCATTTTAATATATAATATTTTATACATATTTAGAAATATGTCACTTTATGGAAATGAAATGCATTGGGAAAGCACATGTTTTGCCTTTGATTCGCTATTTGACCTGATCATGCATTTATTTCAGATCTGTGATGCAGTGCTGGATTCAGGACAGAACCTGTCTCAGAAGAACAAGATCCAGGAGCAAACCCCTCTCATGTATGAGTGGTATCAGGAGGAGTATGTGGGTGCCGCTCATGGCCTGTCAGGGATCTACTACTACCTGATGCAGGTGAACTCAATCACTCACTATACCTTATTGATTGAGAAAGCAACAAATTTAGGGAAATAACTTTACCACTATGGCTGAAGCAAGCAATCTTCCCCCCCCCATAGCCTGGCTTTGTGGTTGGCGAGGACAGAGTTTACCATCTAGTCAAACCCAGTGTGAACTACATGTGTCAGCTAAGGTTTCCATCAGGCAATTACCCACCGTGGGTCGGAGATTCTCGGGATCTTCTGGTGCACTGGTGTCACGGCTCTCCTGGAGTGATCTACATGTTGATACAGGCTTTTAAGGTACAAATCTGCACATCAGTTCGTAATAACATCTTAAATTGTCTGTTTATATCAATAGATAGAGATCGATTGATCTCTATGTACACTACTGTTCAAAAGTTTGGGGTCAGTAAGATTTTTAGTTTTTGAAAGAAGACACTTATGCTCACCAAGACTACATTTATTTGATAAAAAAAATCAAGTAAAAAGAGTAATATTGTGAATTACTTTTATTACAATGTTTAACTGTTTTCTATTTCTAAAAATTTAATTAATTCTTGTGATGACAAAGCTGAATTTCCATGAGGGTGAACTAACCCTTTAAGCCAGTATTCAGTGTCTCTGAATCAGTGTTATTTTATTGTAATTGAGATACTTTTTTTATAGATAATTTTTATGTTTTTTTTGTCTCTTTTTTTCCAGTTTTAGTTACCTTAGTAAATCAAGGTAAACTAAATGGAAATGAGAAATGTTGCCTTGGCAACTAGCTGAAATAAAAGAATTACTATATATATATATATACATACAATGGTGTGAAAAAGTGTTGGCCCCCTTCCTGATTTCTTATTTTTTTGCATGTTTGTCACACTTTAATGTTTCAGATCATCAAACAAATTTAAATATTAGTCAAAGATAACACAAGTAAACACAACCACACCACTGTACATATACATACACATATATATATATATATATATATAATTTCAGTTAACATTTATTTCATTTCAGGTAACGAATGTGTGTGTTTTTATGGTTTTAGGATTAGTCAACTATAATAACCCTTCACTGAATTAAAACATTTCCTATTATTATCATGTTATTTATTTATTTTCTTTATTTGTTTTTTTGTTTTGTTTTGTTTTAACAAGCAGAAACTCTTCTTTTTAGCTCTTGGTATTACAGTGCCATCAAGTGTGAGTAAACAACATTACACACGAGCAGACATGCAGAAGCCTCAAGGAAACATAACATTTCCTTTCCAGGTGTTTGGTGTTGGGCAGTATCTGGAGGACGCGCTGCACTGTGGGGAGGTGATCTGGCAGAGGGGTTTGCTGGAGAAAGGCTACGGCCTCTGTCATGGAGCTGCTGGAAACGCATATGGCTTCCTGGCCCTTTACAAGATCACCCAGGATCCCAAACACCTCTACAGAGCCTGCATGGTGAGTCTAACCCCTCTCAACCTTACAATATATGTTGTGTTCTATAGAGGGTCCTTTTTATATATATATATATATAGATAGATATATATATATATATATAGATATATATATATAATTTGCATTTATAGAATT